CGTGGAGCAAGACCGGCGGCCTTGGCGACGTCCTCGGCGGCCTCCCACCTGCAATGGCCGTAAACTTTCGATCGTCGTCTTCTCGTGGCCTGGATTCAGTGCTCTTGCTGCATGCATGCTTCCTTGCTCATCGTGTATGTGACGTGTGTTGGGCCGATCATGCAGGCGATTGGGCACCGGGTCATGGCCGTCTCTCCCCGCTACGACCAGTACAAGGACGCCTGGGACACCAGCGTCGTGTCCGAGGTACTACGGACACTGCGATCACTCACACGCCATCAGATCCAGTTTCCATGCATGGATCTCGATCGCAAGGTCGTCTGAACCTTTCTTTCTGTGCTCTGATGCATGCATGCAGATCAGGATGGGAGACAGGTACGAGACGGTGAGGTTTTTCCACTGCTACAAGCGCGGAGTCGACCGTGTGTTCATTGACCACCCACTGTTCCTCGAGAGGGTGAGATTCAATTCCATCCCATCTGTAGTTGAACATGGTAGGCACCCATTGGTAGCAGTTTCAGTGAGTTTTTTTCCGTCTGGTCGCTGGTTTCAGGTTTGGGGAAAGACCGAGGAGAAGATCTACGGGCCTGACGCTGGAACGGACTACAAGGACAACCAGCTGCGTTTCAGCCTTCTGTGCCAGGTCAGGATGCCTTTCCACTGTACTTGTACTTCAGAATTCAGATCATCTCATCTGTCTGCAGTATATGCTGCCATCGACAGTTTGACACTGTGTTGGATCCTTGGCTAATTCTCGAGAAATGCATGTTGTCTGCAGGCGGCACTTGAAGCTCCAAGGATCCTGAGCCTCAACAACAACCCATACTTCTCTGGACCATACGGTAAGGGTTCAGTCAGTCTTGTTATCTGTTTAACTTGAGCGTCTGCACAGGAAATGGTCCATCAGACTACTGACATTTTACACCGACTACTACTGCTACTGCTGTACTGCATCCATACAGGGGAGGACGTCGTGTTCGTCTGCAATGACTGGCACACCGGGCCTCTGTCTTGCTACCTCAAGAGCAACTACCAGTCCAATGGCATCTACAGGGACGCAAAAGTTAGTTTCCTCCTCTGCCTTTTTGAACAATGTTGTCTTCGTTTCCATGTTCGTATACCCCATCTGATTCTGAAACTGACTGTTTGTTGCCACCTTCACATACTAGACGGCTTTCTGCATCCACAACATCTCCTACCAGGGCCGATTCGCCTTCTCTGACTTCTCGGAGCTGAATCTCCCTGAGAGATTCAAGTCATCCTTCGATTTCATCGACGGGTATGCATGAGCAAACTGCAATAATTTTTTCCATCAATGCTGCTGGGTTAATATAATAAGGTGACATATGAATGGCAACCCACTGTTCAACTAGAACCTGGTTTGAATTAATTGCAGCTATGAGAAGCCCGTGGAAGGCCCGAAGATCAACTGGATGAAGGCCGGGATCCTTGAAGCCGACAGGGTCCTCACCGTGAGCCCCTACTACGCGGAGGAGCTCATCTCCGGCATCGCCAGGGGCTGCGAGCTCGACAACATCATGCGCCTCACCGGCATCACCGGGATCGTCAACGGCATGGACGTCAGCGAGTGGGATCCCAGCAAGGACAAGTACATCGCCGTCAAATACGACGTGTCAACGGTGAGCGCGCGCGCTTTGCCAATCTGTTGCAGGCCCGGCCGGCCCGCTCGTGTAAATTTCATCCCCAGCAGGCGCTGGTTCTGACGCGGCAAGTGTGCGTTTCAGGCCGTCGAGGCGAAGGCGCTGAACAAGGAGGCGCTGCAGGCGGAGGTCGGGCTCCCGGTGGACCGGAAGATCCCGCTGGTGGCGTTCATCGGCAGGTTGGAGGAGCAGAAGGGCCCCGACGTCATGGCGGCCGCCATCCCGCAGCTCATGGAGGAGGACGTGCAGATCGTTCTGCTGGTACGCCGCCGCCCGTCTACTACATGCATGGTGTTACGGGCATCAGCAGGACAATGTGGTTGACCTGACTGATCGATGCGATGCATGCAGGGCACGGGCAAGAAGAAGTTCGAGCGCATGCTGATGAGCGCCGAGGAGAAGTACCCGGACAAGGTGCGCGCCGTGGTGAAGTTCAACGCGGCGCTGGCGCACCACATCATGGCCGGCGCCGACCTGCTCGCCGTCACCAGCCGCTTCGAGCCCTGCGGCCTCATCCAGCTCCAGGGGATGCGATACGGAACGGTACGAGCACTGCAGCAGCAGAAACATCCTGAATCCTGATGAGAGTGACAGAGAGAGACGATGAATGCTTTCGATGCGATTGTGATTGATGTCTGGCGATTCTTGCAGCCCTGCGCTTGCGCGTCTACCGGCGGACTCGTCGACACCATCATCGAAGGCAAGACCGGGTTCCACATGGGCCGCCTCAGCGTCGACGTAAGGCTACCTAGCTCTTACATACCCTGCCCTGCCATGGATGTTTTTCTACATGTATGAATCTGAATCAGCAAAGCGATTCTTGTTTCGTCCTTTCTTCCTCCCCAGTGCAACGTCGTGGAGCCGGCCGACGTCAAGAAAGTGGCGACGACCTTGAAGCGCGCCATCAAGGTGGTGGGCACGCCGGCGTACGAGGAGATGGTGAAGAACTGCATGGTCCAGGATCTCTCCTGGAAGGTACTTACTTACGCCGTCAGAGCACAGAGCACCAAGATCGTCGATCACACGGGTCTCGCTCCTGTTGCTGATTGTGGTGGTTTATTTGCAAAAATAATGCAGGGTCCTGCCAAGAACTGGGAGAACGTGCTGCTCAGCCTGGGGGTCGCCGGCGGCGAGCCGGGGATCGAAGGCGAGGAGATCGCGCCGCTCGCCAAGGAGAACGTGGCCGCACCCTGAAGAGCTAGGACAGCCCCCCCTGATCTCGTCGCGTGTAGAACAAAGATGATGGATCAAGTGAACATGCATCTTCATATAGTATATCGTCTATGAGTTATATGTGAAGAACTATATAGCTGCTTGTGGTAGTGTAATGTAGTGGTGGCCAGTGGCACAACCTAATAATAAGTACATACATGAACTAGTTGCTTGTGTGTGTAATTAAGTACCGATCGCCAATACTATATTGCGAGTAAATAAATGGACTTTGTAATTAAGTACCGATAGCTAATGCCTTTATAATCCGTACTTTTTAGCTTATTTTTTAGCCGGAATAGTGTTTTTCTCTCGCAATAAATTAGCCGGAACAGTATTTCGACTTGTTTTTTCAGCGAAGCGAACGGCCTATTCAACAATTACACCGGTATATGTATATAGCATCTCTAATAGATTACTGGTAGTGACGTGCTTTCCGTGGTAGACGCCGTTGCAGTGGCACCAAGCAGATCCTATATTACATCATATATACTTGCAAAAGTCTATAAACAATCTTCATATATAATTTGGCAATTCAATATGAAACTTTATTTAATTTCTGTATCGCTGTCGTCATCAGTACAATAGTACATCATGGCATCCTCCTACCACCATAGATAGGGATGAAAACGGATGGGATACGGATGAATATCACTGATATTACATTTGTTTTTATATTTCTGTCCGGATTTGGATTCAAATATAGATAGTGTCAACTATGTCGGATAAGATACAATTAGATATCGACATCGTAAATATGCGATTTGAGTATTCAAATACGGATACGGTATCAGATGTTGAATATCCGAACTCGGATACGGACGGACACTACCGAATCCTCAAATTTGCCGAGTGTTTTTATGTTTGCCGAGTGTATTCCCTTGGCCACTCGGCGAACAAGTTCTTTGCCGAGTGCTGCGATAAAAACACTAGGAAAAAAAAACACTCGGCAAAGAGGGGTTTGCCGAGTGTCAAAAAAAACACTCGGCAAAGATGAGGTTTACCGAGTGTAAAAAAACACTCGGCAAAGAAATAAAATCTTTTTTCTGAAAAAGAAGGAGAAGAAAAAAAAAAAAAAAACTTTGCCGAGTGCTCAGATCTAGAACACTTGGTAAAGAAATAAAATCTTTTTCTAAAAGAATGAGAAAAAAATAAAAAAAAAACTTTTGCCGAGTGTCCAGATCTGCGACACTCGACAAACAAAAAATATCTTCTTTTAACACCCAGCGCCGGCCTTCCTCCGCACGCCCCTCTCCCCCCCCCTATTCCTCCAAGACGCACTGCCCCCCAAAGACCCCCTTTTCTTCCCCGGCCCCCAGCACCCCCCTCCCCTCCCCGTCGGCGCCCCTACCCCTCCTCTCCCTCTCTTCCCCGGCGGCGGCCCCTCCTCTCCCTCTCTTCCTCGGATCCGGCGAGGCCGCCCCCTTCTCTCCCTCTCTTCCCTGGATCCGGCGGCCTCCCCCTCCTCTCCCTCTCTTCCCCGGCGCGGCCGCCCCCTCCTCTCTCTCTCTTTCCGGATCCGGCGAGGCCGCCCCCTCCTCTCCCTCTCTTCCCCGGATCCGGCGGCCGCCCCCTCCTCTCTCTTCGCCGGATCCGGCGCGGCCGCTCCCTCCTCTCCCTCTCTTCCCCGGATCCGGTGCGGCCGGTGGTGGCGTGGTGGTGGTTGGCGGCGCTGGCGGCCGGTGGTGGCAGCTCGGGTGTGGCGGGTGGTGGCGTGGTGGTGGTGGCCGGTGGTGGCTCGTGGCGGCGGCCGTGAAGCCGGGGAGCGGAGGCGAGACGGAGGGCGTGAAGCTGGGCCGCGGCGCAGGGGAAGGGCGCCACCGAGGAGACTGACGGCGGCCGGCGGAGACCGGCCGGTGGTGGCTTTTTTTTATTTTTTGAAAAAAAATGTTTGCCGAGTGTATTTTGTGCAGTCCGACAAAAAACACTCGGCAAAGTCCGTTTGCCGTTAAAAGTTTTACCGAGTGTCGTTTGCCGAGTGTAACACTCAGCAAACCTTTGTCGAAAGTGTTTTTTGGGCTTTGCCTGGTTCCGGTAGTGAGATTTGAACCCTTTTAGATGAATTCGATCTCGAATACGATCGAAAAATATCCGTACCATTTTCACAGCTAACCATAGCCAAGTCAGTATCTATTTGCACACGATGCGCTGGCAACTTCCAGCAACACAACGGCCCTGCACGGTGCAAGCCGCATGTGGGCATCGAAATCCATCGTTGTCGAAATCCTTTTTAGCGTCTTCCTGGCAAGTTTTGGGATCACATGCTTTACCCCGTGCCGGGATCTTTTTAGACGTACAATTTTTATTGGCGGCTACAGCATCTGTAAATTAAAGAACACCAGTGGAAAGAATAGAGATTAATATCATTCAGTGTATATATTCGAGTTGCTGAAACAATGAACTATATATATACGAGAACAGGAAATTAGTGGGTACCGTACCGGAAGCCAGGATGATCATGAGGAAGCCAACTGCCAGGAGCACAACCATATTAGCCCTCCTCATCTTGTCCTAGAGCTAGATGTGTTACTCTGGAACTGTGGTTGACTAATTAACTTGTGATTATTTGTGATGCACAACAAACGGAATGACAAGCATTTATACTATATAATGTGTCGTAACTCAAAAGTGCCCAATAGATTAGTTCTAAAACTGGAGCACACAAATTCAAACTATATTAATAATAATCATTAATTGCATTGATTTGTAGATAAATTTAAAGATATGGACTGTAGAAGAGTTAGGTTTGACCTCGATTCTAAGCTTACATATATGGAAGATGAACCATTAAATAATTGCATTAAGTTTAGAATAATAGAATAGAATTGGTTATAATTAATTGCGTTAATTTTAGAATATAGAATAGAATTGGTTATAATTAATTGCATTAATTTTAGAATAATATAATAGAATTGGAGCACCCAGGCGTCGGACGACCTAGGATCCACCGCCATGGCATCCAATGGCCATGGATGATCCCCTGGTGGCGGTTTCATGTCCCAAAGGCGGTTGCTTGAGTCGGTTATCTTTGTTTGAGTATGACAATGGGCCCATGAATCCATGTGGAGTGTCTTGATGGCCCTCGGATCAAACCGAAATGGAATCAACGTGTAGATGTGTCCCATTATGTGTTTCTTGGCCTGGCACACAGATTGCTGACGTGGCCATGGCAGGGGGGCGTCGGGCGACATTGGGTGGGGTCGGCCGACCCCACCAATCAGCCCCTATGGCCCCTGCCTTGCTGGTCGAGCTCCTGGTGCTTCACTTTTTCATATTTTCACTGTTTTTTCTGCACTCAAATAATTCTCAAGTGTAAGTGGAATTCCATTAGTCTAAAACCAAATTTTCCATTTCTATGTTGGTTTTCCTTTGATTTCCTTGCATTGTTGATATATAAAATAGGCATTTAGTGGCCATCAACACTTGGTTTGGGAGATAGAGATGTCTAAAGGTGGGTACATGGAAACTGAAAACCGGATTCAGTTAAGGGCTGGTTTCCAAAACATTTTGTTGACAACCACTCAAACATAGCATCACGCAAACTGCCAATTAAGGACTTGGCAAGATTTTGAGAAGTGAAAAACATCACTGCATTCAAACTTGAGGTCACTGTTTGGCTAGGTTAGAGGCTGATTTAGGCTTGAGTTCAAAAACAAAGTTTGTAGAACACAACTTAAACTACAACTTTTATTAAGGATCAAATACTAGAACTTGAACCGAAGCTATAGTTCTATGTTGGTCAAAGCAGGAACATGAAAAAGATGCTAACTATATTGATCCAACACTTGGAAACAGTTTTGGCTACTCATGGACATGAACCCTACTTCTTTTTTTACCCTAAGTTGTTTTAGGTTGGTTAGGTAATCAAGCAACACTTGGTTACATTACCAAACATCACCACAAAAGGTTACATAGAACTCAAAGCATCACATGGTCAAACAAATGCACCAACTTAAGGTTATGCACATGCTTATGTGATGCACATGAAAGAGACATGATTAACACAATTCATGCATATTTTAAAAGAGTTAACATCATGTAAAAGAGTTTTGCATTTGTCTTTTGACAAGTTTAAGTTATGTCTCATTTTGAAATAGTTGAACTCAACACCTTTTGGTCACCACTTGCAACTTTTAGCTAGAGCTTAGGATCACCATTTGACATATATCTTGTTGAAGTTCAAACCCACTGCTTAACTGTGACCAACACCTAGGGTGTTACAGGCCTTGACCAGTTATTTTTTTTCAAAAATCGTATTTAATTCATTCAGACTCCAAACAAGACTATCTATATATGTTTTCGATCAGCTCGACAAGAGGAACATAACGGTGCAACCTATTCTTCCATTTGAGGAAGTTGGAAAATCCAGGCTAGGAACCGGCTAGACCGGTTTCGGTAAGACTAGCCCTTCCCTCTCCCAAAAAGTTGTTTTCTTCGTCCAGACTTTAAATGAGATAATCCAAGAGTGTTTTTTTTACTGTCTCTTTTTTTAAAGATCCGATTGCCCGGCTATATATTAATAAGATAGAAGTGAGTTTACAACTAAAAGCGCGAGGAGCACAACCTCCTGCAGCAGACCGCTATAGGGGGGCTAGGATACATAAGCTAATTACTCCCAAAATTAGATCCAACAAAGAGGGGGTGAGGACCCTTCCTCCAGCATTAGCCCACAAGAATGATTCATCCTTAAACCGAGCAAACACGTGCCTCGCCATATTCGTGGTTATTGAAGACAACAACGTTTCTTTGCTTCCAAATGCACCATAAGGTCAGGTTTGCCAAAGTGTGAGCCAATTTGCTTCCCCCCTCTATCATCGACAGGAACCAGTTGTATTGTCAAGATGGCGGACTAGAGGGGGATGAATAGTCCTTTCTAAAATTAATTGCGCCGGCTAACCGAAACAAATGCTGAATTAAAACTATCGGTCTAGCTAAGACTACACCCCTCTATCTAAGTTCACAAGCACCTTATAAAGATCCTAATTAGGCAACAAAGATGCCGGGCTAGTTAGAGCTCACCTAACCAATTCTAGAAGTAAGGTCACACAAACCTATGCAACTAATACTTCAAGCACGGGGGAGCTCCTACACCAACTAGTATGCAAAAGCACAAAGCCTAAGCTCACTAGCAATTCTCAATAACAAGGCTACTCAAACCAAATTAGAGAGCTCAAATTACTTAGGTACACAAACTAAGCAATGTGACTAATAAGGCTACCAAAGCCAATTAGTCACGCAAGAGAGCAACTAATTTACTACCAAAGTAAATTAGCTACACAAGGGAGCTACTTCTAGGCTACACAAGCTAGAAGGTAACTAGCAAGCTACACAAGCTAACTAATTACAAGAGCAACTATACAAGCACAATGTATATGAAAGTAAATACAAGTTTGTGTGTATGAGGACCGCATAAACCAACGGGAAGATGATGACACGGTGATTTTTATCCCGAGATTCACTTAGTTGCCACCAAGCTAGTCCCCGTCACTTGGTGGTTCGGTGAGCTAATAGGCGTTTCACAAGCCGTAAGAACCTCACGAATCAAGTGAGGGTAACTCAATGACACGCTCAACTAGAATTGCTCTTCGCGGCTCCCGCGGGGCGAGCACAACACCCCTCACAATCACTTCTCTGGAGCATCACACAATCTTCTTTGCGTGCTTCGACGGAGACCACAACCAAGCCGTCTAGGAGGTGGCAACCTCCAAGAGTAACAAGCACCACCGGCTTACAACTCGAACACCTATGCCACTCGATGCAATCTCACAATGCAACGCACTAGAATCACTCACTCGCAATTGATTCGCACTTCTCGCAAGCACAAGTGAGTTAGAGGCTTCTCAAACCAAGCACACACAAGGGCAACACATCCCCAAGGTGCTCAACCTCAGCCAAGCTCCAGCTCCACCTCTATTTATAGCCCCAAGCCAAATAGAGCCGTTGGAACCAAGGAGCTGCTCTCTGCGTGGTCACTGAACAGGTCGGTGCGGGCACCGGACATAGGGTGGCGGTGCCCAACGGTCGAATTGCAACGACTAGTTCAAACTAGCCATTGGCTGTTAGAGCGCACCGGATAGGGCGGTGGGGCACCGCCCTAGGCACGGCGGTGCCACGGTAGTGGCCAAACCAGTTTTTGCCACTCTCTGGAAAAATAGGGCGGTGCCACCGGACAGGGGGTGGCGGTGCCCATTTTCCCGAAGTCCCAAAATAGTCAGTCTCTAAAAAATTAGGACGGTGCACCGCCCCAAGCAGGGTGGTGCACACCGGACACGGCGATGCCAGGCATGCAACCACATGTTCCTTTCACCTCACGCATTGCTCCCTTTCACTTGGTCAACAAGGCAAGCATGCAGCCAAACACTCCCCCTTTTGTGACCCGAGGTACATGCAATGCTTGGCTATTTTTACCCTTCTCAAAGTGCATGCAATGAAAGAAAAGGCTCCCTCTCTCTCTTTGCAATGCTTGTGTGCTCCCCTCCATTCACTTTAGCATAGCTTTCTTCACTATTTTGTGCATGTGTGTTAGCTTTTCACAACCATTTCTCAAAGGATTAGTCACTCAATTCACCACACCACTCGATCCTAGCAACATGCAAAGTTAGATCACTCGAGTGGCACCTCTTGATAGTACGGCCATCTATCCTAAACCCGGTTATAAACTTCTCTATACACCTATGACCGATGAAATAAAATGCCCTATAGGTTATACATTTGCCTTGCGTATTCCATTCCATCTCCTCCGATGTTGATGCAACACATGCACCAATCATATCACAAATGATATGATACACTTTATATTATCACGTGACATTGGTTCATCGATCTTGACCTCATCACCGTTGCCTTCATCCATCGGCGTCAAGTCTTGCCCAAGTCAATCGCTCCAAAGCCTCCAACTTGCCCTTCACGCTTGCAACCGGTCCATCAAACAATGTATTGATCTTCTACACCTTAGTCACATGACTCAATGTCATGTCTCATATGCAATGAGCTCCATCATCATATGTGTGAGCTTTGCAATATTTTAAAGCCATCTTCACCGTCATGGCATGAGTTGCTCACACAAGCGTACCTATGGACTAATCACACGTGTATCTCACATTTAAACACATTAGTCTACCTAGATTGTCACTCAATTACCAAAATCAAACAAGGACCTTTCAGTCCATTGCGAAGGGCTCAAATTCTGGCTGTTACTCCAGCTAGCTACATGCTCCCATACGGCACGGGAGAAGGGGCATTCGAAGAAAAGGTGCATGGCAGTCTCCAGGTTTCTAATGCAAAGTCCGCAAAAGTAATTGTTTTCCCAACCACGCACCTGTAAACGTGTTGCTGTCCATAGCTGGTCTTGTAGTAGCAACCAAACAAAGAACTTGCATTTTGGAGGTGCCCAGGCTTTCCAAATCAGTTTTGAGAAATTGGAAACAATGTCGCCACTCAATTGGATGCTATAGGCAGATTTGGCAGTGTATTTTCTGGATGTATCCAGCGTCCAGCAAATATGATCTTCCTCTGGGGTGTTCAAATTCAGTCTCATGGATTGCAGCAGATCCCATAATCTAAAATATTCTACGAGGAGACTACTGTTCAGGTCGTATGCGATCTCTTGAAACCAGGTTCCATGCTGGAGTGCTTCATGAACAGTCCTGTGCTTACTTCTGCTATGGCCGTATAGCAGCGTGAATAGGGCCGACAGGCGGCGGCCATGCACCCAGCTCGAGTGCCATTACTGTGCCCTACGGCCGTTGCAGACTCTGACTGTTGTAGCTGCTGCATAAAGGGCGACGTCGACGTTGTCAATTGGTAGTGGCGTCCCAGACCACGCCCTTTGGATCTGTCCAAGAGAACCAGAGCCATCGCAGGCGAAGGGCTCTGCTGAACCTCTCAAAATCCAAAATACCCAGGCCTTCAAATTCAATTGGCTTTGCTACCAGGGGCCATGCCACCTTGCACTTGCCGCCTGTCAGTTCGCTATCGCCGGCCTAGAGAAAACGGCGATGTGCTTTGTCTATATCTTCAATGAGCTGTTTCGACACCTTGAGAGCAGACAAGAGGTAAATTGGGGTGGTGCTGAGGACTGAACGTACCAGCTCACGCCGTCCGCCTACATTTAGAAGCCGGCCCTGCCATCCTACTAGCTTCGCCCTTGTTTTGTCGAGGATATTTTGTACATGCACCAATTTCAGCCGACCCAATGTGAGGGGTAGTCCTAAATATTTGATTGGAAAGGATGCTCGCTGGCCTGCAAATGATTCCAGGATTCGGTCCAGGTCCAGTCCCGAGCACCTAATAGGAGCAACCAGACATTTTCCAAGATTGAGCTTTAGGCCGCTGGCATTTCTATCTGACTATCTCGATGATAGAAATATGATGACGGGCCATTTTGGCTATGGCCAATTTTGAATGCCAACAGCTGGCCATCGGTTACTGTGGTGGGTATTTGCACACCGTTTATTGTACCAGTATAGTACCCGTGCTAACGCCACAACTGCATTTCATGGATGCACATGAAAACAACCAGATGACGATATTTTTTTTCACATGGCTTAAGTTTCACACAATTACTATCAGTGCAACAACACATATTCTATGGCACGTGCTACCGCTATGGCATCTAGAAAAACAAATCAAACCACCAAAAGATAATATCATTTGTTGTTGCACACTGATAGTAATTTTTCTCAATACCAATTAACATATAAAAAGTAAAAACATCTAGGCTATGATAGTTTAGTTTTTTTTTTTGTCTAGGAACTCTTGCAGTGTAGATATATTCTCGAAGAACCATAGTACAATGCTCGCGCTAACGCTGCGGTAACATTCTAGGTAATGCAAATTAAACAACCAAAAGGGTATATGTTTGGTTAATTTTAAAAATTCATTAACTTAAAAAGCATCATAAAAAATCAAGCCAGCCAATTGTATATTAAATATTAAATATTAGTATTCAAAAGAAATGCTAAATATCACTTGCATATGACACAATTCAGCTATGAAAAGATGTCATTAGGTTAAAAAATAACACTAAAAAATAATTCAAGCTTCGCTTGTAGGAATTGGTCTTCCATTCAGTTTCAGCCGCTTGCACACGTCCAATATCAATCCTGCACCAAGAAAGTATTATATATTTGCTAGCACCACAATACATTGCTGCAGATCAAGTATTCACAAATATTGCAGTGGTATATGTAAGTTCAAGGATTTGACTATTTAATTAGTTGGCAGTTGACCTAGGACTGAAATAAGAAGGCAAAGAAAATCATTTGCTCAAGCTGATGGCCTTTACGGTTGCAGACTTGAACATCACCAGGAAAACTAAAAGGGATGACTATTTCATCAATTCGGAGACAATTGGATTATTGTTCATGTGCTCTGGAAATTCAATCTCTATGTATTGAAAAAAGAGGGTATCAACTGAAAACAGAAACTATTTTATTCATTGCTGAATATACACAAATGCAACTGAATCAGATTATGTAATTAGATACTCAGTCCAGGCAAAGATCAGACACTTGATATTAGCCTTAGTTAAAAAAATTGTATCAATCCAGCTACCATCATGACCATCAGTAAAGAGTAATAATAGAACAGGTCGCTAATTTACCCTCTCCTCCATGATCCATAGCATTGCCCATGGTATGAACATTTGCATCTTCTGAAACAGCAAAAAAGAATGGGCTGAAATCAATTTCCATGATTCACTGTAGCCATTTGAAAAAATAACCAGTCGTATTCTATGAAATCCAACACAACCAATCCTAAACACTGAAATCTAACAACAAAAATTTGACCACAATTGGAACAGTATGATCTTAGATAAAGTGGAAAATGTCATTTAATAAAAAAAAAAGATCCACGGCAGTTTCATATTATTCTCTATGACAGTTTGCCAGCAAATCTAATTAGGCAATAGCTAAGTTCGCTATCTGACCACTTTAGTGTCTATTCCCAGTCAAGTAATTTTACTGAGGTATGATTCTTTTACACAATCTTATATTAAATAGTCAGCTCAGGAGAAAAGTGGAATGATAAACTAGAGTTTATAGTTTGAATAGTTAAACCAGCATGACAAAAGATTAGGATCCTAACAGCATTATTGTCAATCCACAAGGAAGCAATCTTACCACTGGGGGTGGGCTCAATTGCCATCTCCCAAATAACAACAATACCATGCGAAGAAGTAGAAGCAAAAATTGCATTAGTATCAGACACCACCCTTCCAGCAAGACAGGTGATCCCTTTCTTATGCATCCCTGGGAGCTGCAAGTCTGCAACGCATGAAACCACTGCAAAGAAGGCGTGAACAGTAAGCTGCAGCTTACAAAATGTAGCAGACCAGGAGGTAAGGCTAAACATAAGAATTAGGTTTGTGTGGAGATTTGATTTTCTTTTCATTTGTATGTTAAGTAAAGACCAACCTTTGTTCCTGTCAAATAGAAAATAAAGAGCTTAACATACTCATATATGAACCACTTCACATAAAAATATAGTCCATGTTTGCACAACAAATATAATTTAACAGAAAGAACAAAAAATCAAAAGGCTATGGCTAATGAAGCATCAAATAAAAGGATGGACCAAAACTGTGGTAAATTATTTTACAAAAGAAAATAATTAGCAATGTTCATTGTCACAATCTGAACAAATGATGTGGACCTCTGTGATAACCACCTGCTTGCGACGCTTGCTGATGATTGTTTGTCCAGTTAAGGTGCAAAGTAATTTCATTCATAAAACTGATGATTGCCTGACAGCGAAGCAAATGAGTTACCTAGGACAGGCAAGATTTTCTTGCAGACATCAAGGAAGGGCTTGGTAAGAATGACTATGTTCTCAGCCTTGACATGCTCCATCCCTTCTAAAGAGGGGGTGAACACCGTCTGTGCCATCTATGAACCTGAAAGAATCAACAAATATATTAACCCATCATCGCAAGCAGGGGCAGACCCAGTAAGGGACATGGTGTACACATGTACACCCAATAAATTTTGCAAAAGAAAGTATCGTATTCATTAGGCAAATACATATAAAACTTTCTTTAGATCAGATCTGAATAGGGTTCGGGTGCTCGGCTTCGGACAGAAGCAAGGGAAGAGAAGGGGTGCGAATACCTGGTGGTGTTGGCCGGCGGCGGCAGGTATACGGCGCCAAAATATCTTGTGTGGGAGGGTGTGGGCGCCACCGCTGGTTGGGGAAGAAGACGCTGCCGTCCGTTTGAGAACGGGGTGCCGCCGCAGGTGGGGAGTGGGTACGGGGCGGCGCCGCGTGGAGGAAGCTGTCGTCGTGGCTGACGTCGAGGTGAGTGTCGCCGCCGGTGAGGATCAAGAGGTGCCGCCGCCAGATCTAGTCCACGGAGTCGCAGGATGGGGGCGCCGCCGCTGTCGTCGGAGAGAGGGCACAGGAACCACGGCCGCCGCCTCGCGCCCTACGGCTCCACGTCGTCGCCGATGCAGCCCATCGCGGCGTACCCGGAGGCGAGGGTTTCCTCACGTCTCGCTCCCCTTCCCTGGCGCCCTGGTGGTGGGGCCAGCATTGGCCTCGTGGCCAACGCGGCCGGCGGGGTGGGCTACCCTGCGTGCGATGTTTGCTTTCCTGACGAATTTTTTTCTTCTCTCATCTCTCACGGTAAAAAGCAACGAAACTGCAGGAGGGAGAGGGGAATCGAACCCGCGTCCGCGAGCGTGGGTAGATCGCGTGTGCGCGTTTGAAGCCCGCGTGAGTGGGATGGGGCGAGATGCCCTTAGCATCATGTTAAAGACCGGTCATCGAATTTGGTTTGGTTATTTTAAAAGCCTTGATTTTGTAAGATATATTAATCTATAATTTTCATATTTTTTTTTCATTTAGATATACTCCCTCCGTCCATGATTTTTAAGAAATCGTATAGATCTCAATCGAGCCAACTTTTTTTGAGTTTTTTCATTTGAAGTCAATATGCTCATAAAAAATTAATAACATCTTTGAACTTAATCATTAATGATTTTCACACAAAAATTAATAATGCAGCTTGACGAATTAGAATAAATCCACTTTGAAGTGGCATGGAGGACCCGAAAAAGTTGGAGTAGTGGCGCTGAAGACCGCTGAATTTTTCCAGGGACACACAGGGGATTACGATCTTTTATAATGGCACACAGGGAAAAGTCTCAATTTTTTTCTTCTCTCATCTCTCACGGTAAAAAGAAACGAAACTGCAGGAGGGAGAGGGGAATCGAACCCGCGTCCGCGAGCATGGGTAGATCGCGTGTGCGCGTTTGAAGCCCGCGTGAGTGGGATGGGGCGAGAAGTCTAGCATCACACCTTAAAGACCAGTCATCGAATTTGGTTTGGTTATTTTATTAGCCTTGATTTTAACAGAGATAAACTCATGTGTATATTTTTTTTAAGGTACATAATGGTTTGAGGCTCTTAGCAGATAGCATTTTTTCTAAGGAACTAGTATAATTTTAATTGGTCCATTATAGCCGAGATTAAACATTGTGCAGTTACTATAGCGACATTCTACAGTACTTTTTGCACCTCCTTTCCTACTCGGTAGCAAATCAGTTTTTTTTTCTCCCGAGCAAAGCGCAGGTTACCTGCTAGTATATATCTTATATATGCATGAATGCTTTTAAGCAATTTTTTTTTTTGTCGCCTCGAGCGACTGGTGGCATGTCATTCGTCCGGTCGGCGTCAGGCTGAGACTCGTCAGGAGATCAAATCTAAAATAGGTCTCCAACAGAATATTTATAGCATTCAACAGAATATCTATATAAAAGACTCATTTTGGGTGTCGGAGAGGTATAACCCAAATTTAAATATTCTCTCTCCGAAATCTATTTATAGAAAAGATTCTCTTTTAAGTTTTATTGTTGAAGAAGATAAAAAATATGTATTAAATCATTTGTCCATAGCCCGTTACCAAAACGTGAAAAACGGTTGCTGGTGACAGTCTCACCGCGCCAGGCGTCCTGTGCGGGCAACCGCCTTCCTGCCTGCTGCGTCATGCATGCCTTCGCGGCTTCTCCACCCGCTTGCTAGGAGGCCGGGGAACGGGAACGGATACGATTTGGGGATGGGAACGACACCGACACACCGTCACGGCGAGACGGGTCATGCATGTGGATGCGGTTTTTTCGAGGCCTTGTATTGGTGCCACTGACCCAGGAGCACTGGAGCTTTTACGGCCTGCCCTATGAGCAGATCCTATATCACATACACCACATTTATTTGTAAAAATCTATCGTCCGGTTCACTTGGCTTATAAGTCGTATTTTTTCAGTTAACGAATAGTATTTTTCTCTCATAATAAATTAGCCAACATTACTTTTAGCCATGACTTATCAGCCAAGTGAACAGAGCATATGAACAAACTTCACATATAAATTAGTGACTCAATATGAAATGAAACTTTATTTAATTTCTGTATCGATGTCAGTACATCATGCATGGTGTCCTCCTACCACCATATATAGCCAGTCATTATCTATTTTTCGCACACGATGCGCTGGCAAGCTCCAGCAACACAACGGCCCTGGATGATGCAAGCCGCATACGGGCATCGAAATCCATCGGCGTCGGAATCCTTTTTAGCGTTTTGATCGCAAGTTTTGGGATCACATGCCTTACCCTGTGTCGGGATCTTTTTAGACGTACAATTTTTCTTGGCGACTACAACATCTGTAAAGAACACCAGTGGAAAGAATTAATAGAGAATAACATTCAGTGATCCGCTATATATTCGACTTGCTGAAACAATGAACTATATAGAGGAGAATGAGAAATTACTGGGTACCGGAAGCCAAAGCCAGCATGAGGAAGCCAATTGCCAGGAGCAGAACCATGTTAGCCCTCCTCATCTTATTCTAGCTATCTAGATGTGTTCCTCTGGAACTGTGGTTGACTAATAATTAACTTGTGATTATTTGTGATGGAGAACAAAAGGAATGGCAAACATTTATACAGCGGATGGAGGGCTAATACAGAGTTCCAATATATTAGTTCTAAAACTGGGCCATACAAGTTTAAACCATATTAATAATAACCATTAATTGCATTGATTTGTAGATAAATATAAAGATATGGATTGTAGAAATGAGTTAGGTTTCACCTCGATTCTAAGCTTACATATATGGAAGATAAACTAGTTAAATAATTGTGTTAATTTTAGAATAATAGAATATATTTGGTTATAATTAATTGTGTTAATTTTGTGGGCGGAATTTTTGGGGAAAATTTTGGAGCTTTGTTATAGTGTTGGAAGAGTATTGTAGTACAAACTTCCATTTCAAATTATAAGTTATTGTGACATTAGACATCGTGTACATCTAAATGCATAATGTACCTAGAAAAAACAAAATGATTTATAATTTGAAATAGAAAGACTAATAATTATTCTTATTTTTTCTCAGTAATTTATCCCTCCTGCATATCCTCGGTACGCTGCCGCTTGCTTTTAAGGTGTGGACGCTAGGCTTTTTAATTTTAGGGTCAGCTTTCGATGTGGGACCCACGTATACATCTATTCAAACCAGTCTACACAGAGTAGCGTACAATTATATTAAGTCATCTCCCAAAAAATAGTTGATTTCACTAAAATTTTAAGGTGTAAATACGAGGTTTTAATTTTAGGGTCTGATTTTTAACCTAGGTCCCACGTGTACATCCAGTGACACCAGTCTATGTAGAGTAGCAGCAATCATATTAAGTCATCTAAAAATTTGTTGATTTTGCAAAAAAAAAAAAGGGCTTGAATATGAGGTTTTTAGTTTTAGGGTTTGGAGTCATGCAACCCACATATGTATCTAGTCACATCAGTATGCACAAAGTAGAGGCAATTCTATTAATTCATCTCTAAAGAAATCCAATCTATTTTACTAAAATTTTAAGGTGTGAACGTGAGATTTTTAATTTTAGGGTCTAACTTTCGACTTGGGGTCCATGTGTGTATCTAGTCACACTAATGACTAATCTGCACAAATTAGCAGACGATCATGTTAAGTCATCTTCGATGAGTTTCAATCGATTTCTCTAAATATTTAAAGCATGAACATGAACTTCAAAATTCTGGGGTCCAATTTTTTGATACAGAATTAACAAGCAGGTATACTAGTTTTGTTATTATTGAGTCATACTGGATGAATATTTGGATATAATAGCAATTGGATTAGACTCATCTTGTATTAGGATAGTTTCGACTTGGATTTTTTTCATTGGACTTTATCCATATGGATTTGAATGTTAATTAATCCATTACCACCTCTATCGCCTTGATTGGCTTGACGAGTTTGCGTTTATCCATATGGATTTGAGTGTGGGGCCATGTGACACAACCTTATCCACTCAATTCATCATCACCTTGAAAGGATTAAGATGCTCAAGAGGGGAGGTGAATTGGGCTAATTTTAAAATTCTTTGTAATAATTAAACCCTACACTTAGCCCACTTCACCTCTTGTGCCTAGAATGTGATTCTAATGATCTATCGCACAAAAGCTTAGCACCATAAGTTCCAATCCTACTCTAGCATGGTAATTCTAAGAATGTAAAGACAAGAATTGAATTGCTCAAAAGTAAATGCTCAAAGTAAAGAGAGGACGAGGAACGCGGCGATGTTTAGCCGAGGTATCGGAGAGTCGCCACTCCCCACCGCTCACAACTTGAGTTGGGTCATCCACAAGCTCCACCGGATGATCACCAAACTCCCAATCACAACTAAGCCGTCTAGGTGATGGCGATCACCAAGAGTGACAAGCAAGAACTCTCACTTGACCACAACAAAGCCTAATGAGAAGGGTGGATGCACACTTGCTACTCTCTTTTCACAAATGAGGCCTTAATCTTGGATTCTCAAATCTCAATCACCTCACTAGACTCTTGCTCTTCTTGGCACTCTCAAGGGTGTTTCTTAGCTGTTGAAATGGGTAAGAGTGCTCCCTCAAATGAATAGAGGAAGTATTTATACATCCTCATTCAAAATGAACCGTTATGTGCCTCTGCGGGGTGACCGATCGCTCCGGTCAGGGTGACCGGACGCTCCGGTGAGTTCTTTCTGCCATCTAGCAGTTAAGTTGTGACCGAACACTGACCAGCGTCCGATCAGCACTGACCGGACGCGTCCGGTCAAAAAAACTGCTCTCTGGATCCTTACTGATGTTGACCGGACTTTGGCACCCAGCGTTCGGTCACTTTGCTGCTCAGCGTCCGGTCAGTATTCGGAACCTGACCAACGTCCGGTCAGCACTGACCGGATGCGTCCGATCAGGATTCTCCTCTTTGGAATCTTACTGGAGTTGACCGAACTCTGGCACCCAGCGTCCGGTCACATTTCACTCAGCGTTCGGTCGCAACCAGACGACTTCTCCTTGATGAAATGAACTGACCGGACTCTGCTCCAGCGTCCGGTCAACATTTGACCCTCCATTCACTTCCAACTCGTAATCATATGTGAATGAAGTTTGCTCCAAATGATCTTAGGACAACTTAGAAGCTACCAAGTGCTAGATTTGATAAGTGTGCACCACACCTAACCCACTAGACTCACCTAGGTCAAGCTATTAGTCCATACCCCCCTTAATAGTACGACCAAAGGAAAAACAAAGTCATAAACTACTCTAAGTGTCTCTTCCACACCAAACGACACTTAGAACTAGTCTATCCTTAACCTTGTCATCCATCCTTTGAAAACCGAAACGATTTCCATCGTAGGAGCATGACAACCATGATTGCCCAATCAATTGCCATTACCATGACATAACTTAATTGCATCTGCAAAACACACGTTAGTCACAGTAATCTCGTATTGTCATTAATCACTGAAACCCAACTAGGGGCATAGATGCTTTCACACCTGTCCATCTCCCACTCCACCACGCACCCCGCTCCTCCTACCGTTGTTCCTGCCGATGCACTGCACACCCGCCTAGCTCCTCCTGTCACTGTTTCCCGCCGATGCTCTACACGCTCGCCCTGATCTTCCTGTCGTTGCTTCGCACGTCCGCCCCGCTGCTCCTGCCGCTGCTCCGCATGCTGGCCCTGCTGCTCGTGTCGTTGCTCCTGCTCCGCTACCCACCCCGCTTGATGATGCCACCAGCGCAAAAAGAAGTGTTAGGCCTTGGCACGCAAGCCCTCAGCCCCGCCTCCTGCTACGGGCTGCGGCGCCTCGATGCAGACGGCGGAGGAAGCCACACCAGGATATCCTTCTTCAGAAGCGTATCGCTTTTGACACCATAAAAGAACGAAAAAAATGAATCCGAATAGAGTACAGTAGTACCACTTTGACCAAACTGATGGAAGATGTAGTCGTGTAGTATAGTACAGTATTGTCTGTATAGCGAAGCAAACCAGTCTGGACGGCTGTGATGACTTCGTTGGAGTCAATGCGAGTCCCAAAGGGGCACGTCCCCACCGTTGTCGGCGCCGGCGGAACATGACCCGACTCAATTTGGTCACCACACCTCTATAAATATAAATAAATAATGCGGCAGAAGTTGTGTGCATCGGCAACGCAACTTTCCCCGGTCATCGTCCCGCACGTACGTGCTACACAGCAACCGCTTCGTCCCGTCGGCCGGCCGTCGCGTGGGTAGAGGAGAGAGGAGGGCGGCATGGACAGGATCCTGGCCATGTCCCTCGTCGGCGAGGGGCCAGCCAACATCTTCGGCCCGGGCATGAGTGCTGGAGAGCTTCGCCCGCGAGAGGGGGCGCACCAAGGCGGACGGCAACAGCAGGGGTGCAGGTGCAGCGGCGGGCGGCACAAGATCTGTTGATAAAGGAATTTCTACATATCAAAGCGGGAGAGTTTGGCCGCCACTCAGGTGGCCACGTTGCCCCGAATTTTTTCGTCCGTCTGATCCTCCATCGTGTGGCCCTGATTTGTTGGATCGGACTCTACTGGAAGCGCCTTCCTGTGCCTTCCTGTGCTTCTTCTTACCTTCTTCGGCTTCTCCTCTGCTTCTCTTTACCTTCTCCGACTTCTCGTCTGAATCCACTCAACTAAATATATACCCAGCTTCTTCTTGGCTTCTGCTTCTCCTTCAAAATATCTCGCCTCCTCCTTCTCTCTCCCTCTCCCCTCGCTACTTCGCCCGACCCCCTCCTCCCGTCTGCGCCACGGCACCGTCCGGGCGGTGCCCGCCGCTGAGTGCCGCGGGTCTGCCCCGCACCGGGCGGCGCACCCGGAGCGGCCGCCTTGAGCTTGTCGGCATCGTGCCCCCCGCCCGGGCGAGAGCACCCAGCACGGCCAGCCTGGAGTCACGAGCGGCCCCGGCGACGCGGCCACCGAACGACGTTGCCTTGCCCTGCTTCCACGAAACCCTACCTGCCTGTGCTCCACGGCTCCGGTTGCGCGTGCCATCTTCGTCGCCGACGACCACAGTGGCGTCTCAGCTCCGAGTCTGGATCTGGCGGATCTCTTGTCTCCTCGTCGATTTATGGGACGCAAGGTACCCAGCTAACCCCACCACACTTCTGCTGCCAAGTGCATCGCTCAATTAAATCTAGGTTTGGCCGCAGGTAGAAGCTGTGAAGGAATCAGTTGCCGGCTGACAAGTTTCTCTGAAATCGTCTAATAGTTGTTTTTGTATTCTGTGTTGTTCTATTTTTTCCGGATGTTCTACTACATCCAGTGTGTTGGAACAATCGCTCAGGGTCAAAGATGCAGCTGGCACCTAATCTGCAAGTTCAGTGCAAAAGTCTTGAGAAGTCTAGACAAGCCACATCAGCAGCGGCGATCACGTCATCTTTAGTTTGTTCCTGCTACACAGTTAAATTAGTATATGTATTACTATATGCATATAATAGGGTATCATTTAGTGGTTCACAATCATGGCTCTCATGTCTGCCTTGTTCCAGCCTGTAGCATTTGAGCTTGGTATTCCTCCCGAGGACATCATTGCAGACCTCATCATTGCAAACCATCTGCTCTCTGCTGTTTATGTTGGTTGGTGATTTACATAGTCCAAATTGAAAGTACAGGAATTGCCTCCTGCTAATTTCCAGTGTTTGTACTTGCAGTGCTGGAGCAGAAATCATCCATCATGGTATGTTCATCAGCCCAACCTTTCAGTTTGGACCAACAGTCCTCTACATTAAATTCCTAATGTTGTTTTCATGCAAAGATTAAACATATTTTTTGTCTGCGTCTTAACCAGGTGATTTGCCGGCGCGCGTGATGGCACGCGTCATGGACTAGTGTATATAGAGAGAAGAGGAAACCATCCAAATACTCACGTGAAAGCAGAACTGTTGATAAAAAAAGTATTACACAACGAAATTGAGCATGGCTTGGGTTATCACCTGGAGCTTATTATCAGCTAGCTGCTACGGACATACTTGAAGAAGCAACATATAGAGGTCAAACAAATTACTACTACTTTGTTTAATCTAGTTGGGCCGCCAAGCTCGTCATGCTGAAGTACGGAGTGGATCGCTTGACCAATTCCCATGCATGCGATGCGAGATGGTTTCACAGGAGAGCGCTCCAGGCAACCCGCATATTGTTCGCTCTTCTGCCTTGTCCGCTCGCCACCTCTCCACTGAGGCGCTGACGCCGCGAAGCCACGCATGCATGTTGTCTGCTCCGCCTTGCCTTGTCCGCTCGCCTCCTTTCCGTCGGCGATGGCGTTGGCTGCTTGGCCTGCGCATGTTGGCTTTGGCGGCCCGATGGATGGACCGGAGTGCGTAGTTCCGCTGTGAAGTTGTGCGATGTTGGGTTAGACCGACTTCAACGAAGAGGACCCAAAAGCAAGACGTATTTTCCGGTTTACATCGTGTACAGTGAAAGGGTGCGTAACCCATAAACTCCGTTCCTCCTCTCGTGAGCGCCGCCGCATCTTCCCTTCCTCCTCTCGCAGGCCCGCCTCCGGTAGCAGCAGCTCCGAGGCCTCCCTGACAGGGTTTGGTGCTGGGGCGCCTCTGCAGCCCTCCGCGCTCCTGCCTCCGACGACGCCGGGCACAGCCACCGTAGCCACCGTGGCTGGCGCTGGGATGCCACCTCCAATGCCGACGATGGTGCACCCCACCTCCGCAGCAACCTCCGGCGCTGGAGCGCCCCCATCCCCGCGGCCCTCCACGCGCCCAACGACGACGACGTCGGGCACCGCCACCGCAGCCGGCGCTGCCACCTCCGGCGCGGGAGCGCCCCTGGGGACGTCCTCCCCGTCCACGCCGTCGATGGCGCCGGGCCCCTGCGCCACGGCCACCACCTTCAGCAGCAGCGTGGATCCGGCTCTGGAGCGCCTCCGCAGGCGGCGTGGATCTGGGCGGAGCCACAGCGTGACGGCCAGGCGCGGAGGCAGGTGTGGCGGCGGCCCCCTCTCTGCGACGCCCATCGCGCCTCTTGCCGCGGCGTCGCTCCTCCAGTCGCGGCGAGCGCGGCTCCTCCACTCCCGGCGCGCGCCTCCTCCACTGCCGGCGGTCGCGGCTCCTCCACTCCTCCAGTCGTGGTCGCGGCGGTCACGGCTCCTCCACCGCCGGCGGTCGCGGCGAGCGCGGCTCCTCCACTGCCGTCTTCCCCGCTCCAAAGCTCCGACCCAGGCCGCCGTCTCCGCCTGCCGTCTCGTCCGCGGGCCCGCGCAAGATTTTGCGTCGTCTCTCGTCGACAACGCTTTTTTTCCTTCTAGATGGCGTCGGACCCAAAATAGGTCCTTTGAATGGATCTTCTGTTGGAGGATGATTCTGGCTAGGCAAAGCACTGTGCAATACTGATTTTGCGTTTGGGTTCCTTCATTGGAGACAGTCTTATGTGAGCTTGGGGCCGGGTGGATTATTTAAAGCGGCGGCAAGGGCAAGCCTTAAGCCTTGGCTAAGAGAGTCGCACCGCCCTCGCTTTCGTCTGGATCGACACCGAATCGAGCCGACGCGCTATATGCGCTCTCGCCTCCGCTGTAACGGCCGTCGTCCCCTCCGCCCGTCACCGGTCTCCCCCTCCGGGCTCCGGCCTCCGTCGCTCTACACTCCCCCTCCGCTCGGCCTCGGCGGCTTGGCCCTCGCCCCTTGCCCCTCGGCAGGTCGCCGCCCGGCCCGCCGCCCGCAGCCCGCTGACTGCTGCCCAGCCCTAACGCCCCACTCGGCTGCCCGCTCGGCTGTCCATACTCCTTATACAATACATAATGCGTCCATGGGTAATCATGCATCCATTAAAAACAAAATGATAAAGTTATAGTGATCCCAAGTTTATAGAGTCTAGATCAATCATCAACCAATTGTAAAGTGCAAGACATAAAGTAATACAAAACTAATATAAGTTATTCCCCGGAAGCATGGCTCGTTTGGTTCGCGAGCGGCTCATGAGCTGGCTCGAGTTGGCTCGTTATACCTAACGAGCTAATATCTTGGTCCGAGCCGGCCAAAGCTGAGTGAGCTAATGAGCTTTGAATTTTTCATCCAACCTTAGTCCGCACTAGTAGTACGACACTACGGACAGGTACACCGTCTCGTGGACAGGTACAACATCTTCTTTCTCAATTCTCAAGCAGCCGGGGTTCTAGTTTTGAAAAAAGGTCCCTGTTTGCCTTCACTGTAGTTTACATTTTTTTTCTCAAACTTTAAAATTAGATGAACTATATCTCCCTCAACTCTCAAAATTGTTTAAACTCTACTCCGGTTAGAAGTGGTTCTAGGTTGGTTTTGTCATTCATAAATTAGGAAATTGTTGTATGCACTTAAGTTTTTATTCCAAAAAATATCACTAAACTTATAAAAGTTTGAACCAAAATCTTAGAGATATATTTGGACACGAGAACACAAAATCAATGTTTATATAATGAAAATATATCTAGACACTTCGAGAAATTAGATTTTGCTATAGGAAAATATAAAAAAAACATATGCATAAGATCATGAAAATTTTCCAAAACATTTTAATAATTATCTAAACATGTTTTAGAAGTTATCCACATCAACAATAAGATGTAGCTAGCATGAATGCAACACATGAATTGTTAAATGCATTCGTGTTGGTTGGAACTCGTGTTTATGTTTTGAAATTTTTGTGTATATTTTCTCTACAATTTTTCTAGAGCTATAAATCTAATTGTTCAAGCTTCTAGATATATTTTCACAAGCTTTAAGTATTCTTTTTAGGTTTATCGTATCTGAATCTATATCTGGAATTTTTCTCCAGATTTTTTGTATCCTTAGAATTTTTGTCACGGTGCAAAAATCTTAGCGAGTATATATTGGGAAATTTTAATTAAACAACAAAACCATCTTAATTTTTTAACAGTGATAGTAGGTAATTTAAACTGGTATTAAGAGCCTGAGAGAGAACATTTGCCTGAATTTAGAGTCTATTATTATACGACGATAGTTGTTGTTTTTTTGAAACATATACGACGGTCGACGGTAGTTTAGGTGGCGAGAAAATAGTTCTACCTCTAGTTTTTTTTTTTTTTTTTGGAGCAAAAGTTCTACCTCTAGTTTTTTTTAGCAACTAGTTCTAGTGTGTACTATCGTGTTGCAGAACCGATTGCAGGCCCGGCCCATGAAGCAGGGCAGCTGCTTGCCCACCGGTGGGGCAGTGGGCCTCCAGTATGGAAAATGTGGCGCGGTTCGATGACAACAGCACGTCGAAGGCTGTCACGTCACGTCAGAATCTCGCGGCACGGCTTCCGCGTGCGACACACGAAGGGTCGAAGGCAGGCACGCGCAGAGACCGAGCTCAGACGACCGAGATCAGAGCAGCGACAGCGAGGTCGGCGGCGATGGACAGGCTCGTGACGTCGATGGTCTTCTGCGAGGCTGGCAATATCTTTTAGCGCACGAGGAGACACGGTAGCAAGGAGGAGCCGAGGACGGATGGGCTCGGGTGCGCTCGACAGAGGCAAGAGGCAGGCAAGGCACCGAGCAGTGGTGACTTGTCTTGTCTTGGACCTTTTGTCTTGTCTTGGACAAGTCAACACAGGCAAAATGACTTTTCGTCCAAGCCAGCTTTTGCACCTTCTGAGCTACTACTACTCCACCGTCGCCACGTAGGCGGACCGGCGCCGAAAACTTTTTATCGTTTGTTGGGTTGAGAAGTTACGGCTGAAAGTATTGTTGATTGATTTATTATAAGAGAAAAATATTATTCGTTGATTGAAAAAGATAGCTCGTAAACATACGAACAGGACGCTTATCCACATGAGGGTCTCGTTAGTTGTTTTTTTCTCCAAGGTTGGAGTGCCATGAACAGGCCATTGATCGACTGATTGATTCCCGCCTTGCGGGACACCGAAAAAGAGGGCAGACATCCACGTCCCACCCAGTACCGCGCTCGGGCCCTGTCTGCTGCCGACCACACGGCACGGCACCCGGGCGGTGGCCTGCCGCCTGCCCCAACCCCAACCCCAACCCAACCGAACCGAACCGACGGACCCAGCGCCACCTGAAACCCCTCCAAGTGTCGCCTGCCCGTGGTGACCACGTTTCGCCGCCGTGGAGTTTCTTTTGCGCTATGCTGGAGTAGGAGTACGTAGTCCGAACGGGCTTGACCGGCTCAGCGTGAGTTCGCGTCGGGCCATCGGGGTCAGCGGCTCAGCGCGCGTCAGGGCCACCTCACCTGCCGCCTTCGCGTCGCTTGCCTGCCGTGCGCGAGTCGGGCTCAGACCGGGTCCGCGCCCGCCCCGGAACTTTCCCTGCCGCGCGCGCCACGGCTCCGTCCGTCCCTTCTCCCACGCGGACACGGCTCCTTTAAAACACCAGCAAGGGCGCACACACCAAAGTACCAAACGCAACTGCAGGAGCGCATCAGAATCCACCACCAAGGACTCGGTCAGTTCCCAAGAAGCAAAAGGAGCTCCACATCCGATTCTGATCTGCTGCCGTCGTCCGTGACCATGGACAAGATCCTGGCCTTCTCCATCCTGAGCTCGTCGCCGGCGGACATCTCAGCGGCCGGGTTCTTCTCCACCAGGCTGTCATGGAGGACCTCCGCCGCCGGAAAGCCTCAGACGCCTCAGGCGGACACGGCACCGCCGAAGCAGGAGAAGGCCGCCGAGCAGCGGGGCTCATCGCGGGCCCCGGCGGCGGAACGCGAGCGGGAGGCGCGGCCGCGGTTCGCGCCGGAGTTCGACGGGCTCAACTGCTTCGAGTCCATAGTCTCCTTCTGAATTACGTATGATGGACTTTGAGGCTCCGCGTGTTTGAATTCATTTTTTGTCTTCTAATTTTGGGTTGTCGCTGAGTGAAGCGACGAGTAATCTGTACAGAGCTTCTGTATACCGCGTCCTATTGAATGGATCATCATACGTTCGCTTGATCTTGTTATAAGATTTGATGCGTCTTCTTTCGGTCTTCCGTTGTGGCTTGTTACAAAATCACTCGGAAGAGCAACTTTGAACTTGAATTCCCTCGAGAGAGCAACTTTTTTTGAACTTGAATTCCCTGGAAAGAGCAACTTTAAAATTGAATTTGGGGGGGTTCCCATGAACATGATCGCGACACTGAAGCTGCTCTGTTCCTGCTGTTCATACTTCTTTGAAGGAACTGATGATGGTTCCTCTTCTCCGAGGGGGGAAAAAGAGAGAGAAACAGAGGATATGCTTTTGTTCTGTGCTGGTTGGAGGTCACGTCCTCACATGGATCATGATGGATGGGATGATCCATTTCAGCACGAGACGAATATACCATTTAGATGACTGTAGTACTTAAACAAACTCGTTTCGTCATAAACAAACCTGTGCTAGCGCGTACGGAACGGAGTACACGTTACCCCCAGCCCCAGCCGAACAGGCCCAATGAAGGTGGCTGTTACAACCGCCCTCCTGTTCCTGTCCACGCATGTTTCCTTTCCTTGCCTTCCTTCCTGTGCTGGCTGGCTGGCGGCTGGGTTGCCACGTTGTCACGTTGAGAGGTACGGAGTAAGTTAGGAATGTGGACAGGTGTGTGTAATGGGCTGCAACCTGGAAGTAAAAGAGGCTCTAACTTGTTACCATGATCCATCCGTTGGCTCCCGTCGTCGGATGATGGTAAACTGGTTCCGGCAGCAATTCGCCACTCTGCCACGAGTCGGACCTTGTTTAGATTGTAAATTTTTACAATTTGGACACTATAACACGTTTTGTTTGTATTTGACAAACTTTGTTTGATCATGGACTAACTAGGCTCAAAAGATTCGTCTCGTGATTTACAACCAAACTATGTAATTAGTTATTTTTTTTACCTACATTTAATGCTCTATGCATACGTCCAAAAATTGATGTGATGAAGAAAAAGTAAAAAAACTTGAAATTTTGAAGCAATCTAAACAAGGCCTCGCTGGCTCAGGGGCTTGCAGCGACAATTCGTCAAACACACTCTGAAAAGGAGGAGCAGCAGGTGCTCAGACCTCAGAAGTGTTGACTCGACTCAGACCTCAGTGACAGTACTGCACTTTTCAGAACCAAAGAAATCAACTGCATCGTGAGATCGCCAGTTTGAAATGAAAGCAACATTTGAATTTGAAAAACCCAGCATATATGTTCAATCTGCTTGGTGATCCTGGAACTACGACGGGTCTACGGCCGCGAGATGAGGACTGAGGAGAGTAGGCACTAGGCAGGAAGCGAGCCAGGAAACGAAAGCAGAGCAAAAAAAAAAATGAACACAGGGATGCGCACCAAATGTCTGCATTCTTGAGTAGCACGTCCGCTACGCTACTCAAGGTCGCCAGAGGCCTGTAAATAAGCGAGAAAGTGCACGCTAGTGTTTGTAATTTCCAGTCACTCCACACTTTTACGACGTTCGGCGGGACTAATCGCTGTTGCGGTTGATTTTATACGATTAATTTGATACGAGAGAAAAATATTATTTCATTACTAAAAAGTAAGGACCCAAGTGCTGCCAGTACACAACAGGCCGTGTGGTCTGAAAACTGCCCTCGTGTATTCGGCCCACGCTCGTAGTCAATGAGGAAGGCCACCGCGGCCCCACCCCACGCATGCGCTGCCAGCCTGCTGCAACACATGTCAGGGGCTCAGGGCCTGCAGCAGTCACAGGCTCAGCACAAGTTCCCGTCAACACACGTTGAAAAGAGGCAACGCAAGCAACGTCGGCACTGTAGGTGTAGCAGAGGGTTGACTCGACTGACGCCATTGCTTTCTTGAATGGATGGATGCAGGATTGAACTCATTGTAGCCAGCGGGAAGGGAAGCAAGCTGCGTAGATCTGCAGTCTGAAAACAACACGGTAGTAGCTCGTGACGCCGTTCCTTTTTTTTCCGTCCTTGGTTCTGGTTCGAGATCGACGTTGCGAACGCATGATCCGAAGAGTTTAGGCCTGGTTTAGTTTTTAAAAATTTTCACCACAAACTATTACATCGAATCTTGTGTCACATGCATGGAGTATTAAATATAGATGAAAAAAAACTAATTACACAGTTTGGTTGAAAATCGCGAGACGAATGTTTTAAGACTAATTAGTCCATGATTAGCCATAAGTGCTACAGTAACTAACATGCACTAGTGATGGATTAATTAGGCTTAATAAATTCGTCTCGTAGTTTCCAGACCAGCTATGTAATTAGTTTTTTTATTAGTATCCGAAAACCCCTTCCAACATCTTCAAAACATCGATATTAAAAAATTTCATTTCGGAAACTAAACGCAGCTTGAGTTTTTCAGTGCGCTGAAGCTGAGTGATACGCGCACAAGATTTGGGTGATAGATGACTGTACTGTATGAGATCTTCAGTAGTGCTCTGAACGAGGTCAGTACGGACAGTATCTGAACGTCGCAGTAGACAGGCATCTGAATGCTGAAAAAGCAGATTAAGGCCCGGTTTAGTTTAAAAAAATTTCAACCCAAACTATCCCATCGAATCTTGTGGTACATGTATAGGGTATTAAATATACACGAAAAAAAACTAATTGTACAGTTTGGTTGAAAATCGCGAGACGAATGTTTTAAAACTAATTAGTCCATGATTAGCCATAAGTGCTACAGTACTACTATACGCTAATGATGGATTAATTAGGCTTAATAAATTCGTCTCGCAGTTTCCAGGCGAGCTATGTAATTAGTTTTTTTTATTAGTATCCGAAAGCCCTTTCCGATATTTCCGAAACATCCGACGTGACATCTAAAATTTTTTATTTCGTGAACTAAACACAGCCTAAAACAAACTCGTTCGCTTGAGCTATGGGAGTACTACTTTTCAACCATAATAGCGTTGTTCTCTCACAATATTTTAGCATAAGCATAAATATAAATCAAATTTCTGCATAAGCGAATAGAGTGATCTGCGGTGGCTAGACAACTGTCGATGTTTTACCACCGATAGTCTGTCACGGGGTTACCTAGGACAGTATGTTCGGGCTTCAGCGTATGCGGAACTCGACGGTGAACGCAAGAGACAGACGATTTATCTTGTTTCAGGCCCTCGACTGTGGTCGAGTAACAGGCCTACGTCTAGTCGGCGTTAGCCTTTGCGTTGTATTGGTGATATGTTGGACTCAGATTCATCTGATGACCTGACGTCGAGTACTTCTGGGGGGATCAATGGTGATCGAGGACGGCGAACCATGAGTACTTTCCGTGCGTGAACTGTTCTATTATTAGCGTTGGTTTCCATACTGTCGGAGTTGCTGATAACTTTAGTAGGGGCTTCAAGGTTGCATATCGAGTCTCCTTCTTGGTAGGATAGAATTGATGTTCTCGTCATGCCAACCCGTCGGGTACTGCTATCCTCAGGAATAGAGCCTGGCCAGTGGACGATGCATACTTGAGATGTTATGGTTAGTATGAGACCTTCCTGAGCTCCTTTTAGTGGCATTCTAAATACTGGGTCGAGGGATCCTTCGAGCTGTGCTTGGTAAGACCTTGCCATGTTGTGGAGTCCAAATGGGAAAAGATCCGACTTCTTGAAAAAATTCTGAGTGCACTCTGAGTTGTATTCTTGATATGCCGAGGCCGCGTTCTGTAGCCTCATTGGAAAAGAACTCGGATTCTCGAAAGAACCCGGGTCATACTCCATCTTGGATGCGGAGCCTGAGTTCGAGTCAGATGCGTAAAGCCATGAAACATGAGTTGAATCAGACATCACGTGCTGCGCGAATCTTCCGGTGATTTGATCTGTCGAAGTCGCCAAAATAGGAAAGTTTTCATGGTGAACCGAATCTTCGAGAAGACGGCTTTGGAGCTTGCCATCGTCGCCTGCCTCGCGGATCCACGAACTGAAGATGAAGGTTGATTCCGTTGAGAAGATCATGTTGTCGAGGTCCATCGAGCTCTCGGATGCAATTTCACCGAAAGCCCCTACCTGGCGCGCCAGCTGTCGATGTTTTACCACCGATAGCCTATCACGGGGTTACCTGGGACAGTATGTTCGGGCTTCAGCGTATGCGGAACTCGACGGTGAAAGCAAGAGACAGTCGATTTATCCTGGTTTAGGCCCTCGACTGTGGTCGAGTTACAGCCCTACGTCCAGTCGGCGTTAGCCTTTGCGTTGTGTTGATTGTGTTGTATCGTCTGTTCTTGTAACAGAACCGACCAATTATACGAAATTAAGTAAGAAAATCATCCGCCAGAGCAGACGATTTCGCAAACTTAAGCCCGTATAACCCGGTAGTCCGTGAAATCAAGAAGGATTTCAAACCAACTTCCATTCCAGCCAAGATCGTAATAAGTTTAGCGGTCACCATCACATATTACATAAAAGTTCGTAATCTCAGATACATCAGAGTTTCAACATAGTTATTATAAAACCAGTTCGAATAAAAGTAGCGGAAGCCATTTGTTCAAACCACACACACACTCACGCGGAGTTCAAATATAGTGCCAGCGAATGATCATCTCCAACAAAAGCATTAGACGAGACGTAAGGAATGACCATGCCCATGGTCCTAAGCATCACCCATCGCAGGATAAAGGTAGTTGATACAGTAGCCGTAATACATCTGCCCATCTGCAACAAGTGGGAATAAAACCCTGAGTACGAGAAGGTACTCAGCTAGACTTACCCGACATAACCGAAAAATAAGTGACACCAAGGATTATGAAGGGCTTTATAGTAGGGTAGCTGACTCATTTGCAAAAGAAGCATTTTAGCATTTCAAGAACCTTTCTAAAAACATTATTGTCAAGTTAATTATTATTAACCTGTCGACTAGATTTGCACCTAAACTAGAGCAAAC